AGACCTCCAAAAAGCTTCCCCCATTCTCAATTCATCATTTTGGAAAAATCGTCACAGTCAAGAAAAAGAACAAGGAACGTTCTCGTATCAGAACACACACCCACATGAATCAAGGTCCAGCACCACCGGATGTCATCATTTTAGGAGGATGGTCTCCTGGCCCACTGTTATATCTCAAAGACTTTCTAGCATCGAATCAATGTCGGATCGTTGAACTGCAAATTCCAATGCCTCCCATTCCGGGATCCTGGTGCTTGGACAAGGCGGTTTGCGGCACCATTGGGATCCTGATACTCATGATATTTGGCTTGGCGTTGCATGCTTCGGATCTTCACTGGTTTTTGTTTGCATTCATTGTATTTCCAATATGGTTTCGAATTCTGGCGGTGATTGTTGTGAGAGTCTCTATAAAACAAGGCATACAGATTGCTCTACAGGCGATTCGCGAAAGCGAGGGCCGGGAAACGATATTGGTGGGCTTTAGTTGGGGTGCAGCTGTAAGTTTGGATATGTCACAGCCCCGCAGAACTGAATTTTCATGAGGACAGAAAGCTAATCGAAATTCATGCTCACCATCGTCCATCATATGCATGTGTATTCTTGTTCCATCATTCTTTGCTCAGGTGCTTGGTGAAATGGTGGCTCTTGGAATGATTGGAAGATCCGATCAACCGTTAGCGCTTTTGATTGCACCAACTTCATCTTTGGTTGCTTCGGTAGCCAAACAGAGGGATGCTGCCCTACGCATTCGACATTCTTGCAACTCGAACCGGGTATTTGTGGTACATGGGACTGCCGATCATACATTCTGTCCCAACCAGGAACGCTGGCAGGATACAGGAGCTAGCCTTCATTATTTGGTGGACAATCATGTTTTTATGCGACACCCGTCGCAAAGACAATTGATCAATATAGCGGGAAGCATACTGCGTTCGACTGAATCACAAGCTTTCTGAGACACAAAAATCGAGTCAATGAACCTGGAACCGTTTCATGTTTCAAATAGTAGGAACGAAATAGACCATGGTGTGCTGCTGCAAGGTTTCTTCTAACTTATGAAAGACTGAGCCGAACGCCAAAATTCTATCTATTGTCAAGTCATCAGCTTCAGGAAGATGAAAGAGCCAGCTCGCGCGCAAGAGAAAATCCAAAGACATTGCCGTACTTCAACCAAAGAAAGGTTTTAACTCTCCCTTTCAGTATGCGGATGAAGTAATTAATAATCTCTGTTCCTTGACACAAGTAAGGATCAACGAATGTCAAGTCATCTCGAAGGAGGTTTGAAATCAATAATAGAAACGGTATTCGACGAAAAGCAAGCTGCGACTCTTGTTTCCTCCTTGTTCCATGCCACCTCGAAAATATCACCCCCTCCCTTATAATTTCGAATGTGCTCGCCCTTTTCAACGTCCCAAATGTATAGCTGCCCAGCTAGAGATCCACTCGCCAAGAAATTTCCAGAAGGAGAAAAGGCAACTGAATACACGGAATCACGGTGACGATCAAACACGCGGAAACAGCTGCCATCCGAGACATTCCACAGACGAACCGTTCCATCAAATGACGCGGTAGCCAACATGAGCTGTTTGTCTGGGTTTGCCGAACCTTCACCAGTTGGACTCCTACAAATATAATAAAAGAAAGGAAGCAATTTTATGAGAACGCTGTACCGGTAGTAGCCAGCATGGGCAACAAGAGATCAATCACGCTCTCCAATCAACGCACCACTTGACAGTATAAATTTCTTGCTTGTGACTCTTGAAATCATGCAATGGTTGATCGCTATCACTGTTCACAGCCCAGACCTTGGCAGTGCAATCATCCGAACAACTCGCTAGAAGATTCCCGGAAGGAGCCCACTTGACAGCATTCACTTCATCCGTGTGTCCGTGATACACCTTGAGGGGCGATGCCTTTCCCACTCGACAAATGTGCACCGACTTGTCGGTAGAACAAGACGAAAAAGTCATATCATCCTTCCAATCTACATCCAAAGCAGGTGCCATGTGATCATTAAACTGTTGTTCCACAAAGCCCGTGCTTCCCGAGACATCCCAGACAATGGTGGTTCTATCGTAGCTTCCCGACAATAAGTAGTTTCCTCGCTTGTTCCATTTGAGAGAGAATATTGGCCCCTTGTGCCCCCTCAACGTGTGGACCAGAGCCCCGCTGCGACTCCAGACGCGAGCCACTCCATCGTAACTACCCGTAGCCAAGAGTTTACCGTCCGAGGACCATTCTAGAGTGGTGACATCCTTGTTCTTGTTGTCTACCGAACCAGTCCCATGAGGAAGCATTCGTATAGGACCCAAGCCGTCCTTGGCGTACATTCCATTCATTATCCATACTCTCGAAGTCGCATCACCACTTCCAGTAGCAATGGTATTGGTAAAGATGGGGTTCCAAGCACACATAAAGACTTCGGAGGAATGAGCCTTGAGCTCTAAAATCTCGGAGGCGTCTGCTTTGGTCACTTCGTCTTCTCTGGCAATCTTTTCGTCTAGAGCATTCTTTTCCTTATCCGATAGATTACTGCTGTCATTCGTGCTGTGTTCACCATTCAAAAAGGTCTTTCCGTTGAGGTTTGTGGTCGTTTGGCTATTGTTTGTTTCATCGGGCACTGTTTTCGGTTCTTCAATCTTCTTTTCATCAACATTCATGGGACTAGTGACCGCTTCCTTGTCCTTGCTGTGCGTTTGGTCCTCCATGGGAGTATCATCCAACGAGGCAGCAGCTTGTTGTAAGGAAGACAATCCGGGGTTACTCTTCGATGACTCTTCCTCCGATGGTGCCGGAGACGACGATGACTCTTGCCGCTTGGCTGACTTTTTATTCTTTGATCCCTTCTTGGCGGCGGCCGCCATTTGCCCTGCGGATCGCTTGGTTCCTGCAGTTTGAGTCACGTTGGAAAGCCCCAAGGCCGCTGATAATGAGGCCTTTTGTTGTTGCTCTTGCTGGAGCTGTTGTTGTAATTGTAATTGCTGCTGTAAGTGTTGACTCTTTTGCTGCATTTCCTGAAGCTGTTGTTGTTTGATTTGTTCTTCTTGCAAGGCAGCCATTTGTGCCGCCACTTCTTGTCGCTGCCGCGCAAGCAGTGCCGCAGCACCCGCGGATTCCACAGAGGAAGATGCCGCAGCTTGTCTCATCATGGCCTGTTGCTGTTGATCAAATTGTCCCATGGAAGAAGCCGTCGCTGCTGCCACGTGGGCTGCTTGAGCCGCCATGGCAGTCCGAGCCAAGTGATTTCGATCTTCCACGGCTGGCTGTGGTGGAAGGCTGGAGGGACCAGTGATCTTAGTCTTACCATTTACCTGCGCTTGTTCTGCTGCCTCTTTGGTCGCTGCTGCTTTTCTATCTGCCTCTATCTTTGCTTCAGCTTCTAATCGTGCCTTTACGGCGGCAGCAGCAGCGGCTGGAGGAACATTGAGCTGTATTGGTGGTATCTCTCGAGTCAGTGCGGTTAGTGTGGACGGTGATAACAACGACATGGTGTTGGACTCATTGGGAGCTGACTTTCGTGATTTAGTGGCCTCTCTGTGCAACGCGTCCTCCACTCCAACGTACTGCAATCCCTTCTGCAGAAATGCTATCAATGCACCAGGAGGTAAATTTTTGTCTGCGTTTTTAATATTGGTTCTCCCCAGCATGCTCTCATAGACAAAGGTAAAAGCAGAATGAACAAAGCCGCTTTCTTGCAGATATCTGTGATTGACGAAACGAGCTGTGAGATAAGGCTAGAGCAATCAATCAACCAATCAATCAATCAACCAATCTTGGTTACAAAACTGCTTCACTGCCAACAATAATCTCACCGAAACACCAAATAATTTACTTCATCACTCGTTATGCAAAGTGCTGGCTCTTCAGATCTCTCATTCGATTCATCTCCGTCTGCGCTTTTGCCCGATTCAGAGCCTCCCGAGACCCCCATGGCTGTTGTTGTGTTAAAAGACGTCGTTGGTAATGAAAACACCAGGTTGGCAGCGAGGCTACTAGTATTATTGGCTTGCAACCAATGGATCTATGCTCTGGAAAGCAGGTAGTTCTGGATAGGATGGGCTTGGGCAATTTGCTATTTTTTTGCTCTAGTGTGTGTAGACTCTACGAACCCATCAGTACAAAGCGGATAAAGTAGTACCAACAGTACCAAATCTCCGTAAAAATCCATGGGATGGTTCACAATGATGTGCTTCTTGCCAGTAACGTAGTACTTT